CATAATTAAAACTTTCATAATTAAAAAAGAAAGAAACCAACCTTAGTTAAAAATATCTAAACAGCAAATGAGAACCATTGCATTATGTCTGAAAATAGTTTTAAAAAGTAGGTAAGTTGCTGTCTTAGAAAATGAACTTTCCTTGCAACTGTTACATCATTAGGTGGTTTCTCCAATAGAAAGAGGAATTCCTCCACTGTTTTAACACTTAGTACTGTTTACTTTATGCCAGGCATTATTTTAAGTGCATTATTCATCATATAATCATGGGAAGTATCATTATCCCCATATTCCAGGTAAAGAAATTGAAGCATATAGAGGTTAAACAACTTAACCAAGGCCATATAGTTAGTAAGCTTTAAAGCTGAGATTCAAAGATTTCTCTCATCTGGCTCTAGAGAAACCATATTTTAACCATTATGTTTTGTTGGCTCTTGAAGTCTTTTGAAATTTTGGGCTCCAGATGGGTCTAACTATGTGGGCACCTATCCACAGGGGCCCCTTTCTTGTACTCTTTAGCTCTCTCTAGGACACTTCAAAATCAAACCTATCCACTTTTCTGAGCCTTTGGAAGATTTTATAGGGAAATAAGACACTGCAAGAGAAAAAGACTGTCTTGTTGGATGTGAAGGAATAATGGGGCCTTTTAACAGTTCTCAAGGTCAACACAATACTTCAACACAGCATATCTTTGTTAAAATAGTCTTCTTGTTGGCTCAGCATCTGTAGCTCAGTGGTTAGGGCACCGGCTAAGTATACCAGGGTTGGTGGGTTTGAACCTGGCCTGGGCCTGCTAAACAAACAACACAAATACCTGGGCGTTGTGGCGGGTGCCTGCAATCCCAGTTACTAGGGAAGCTGAAGCAAGAGAATTGCTTGAGCCCAAGATTTTGAGGTTGCTGTGAGCTTTGATGCCACAACACTCTTCAGAGGGTGATAAAGTGAGACTCTGTCTCAAAAAAAATTAAAATTGTTCTTATTAACTGGAATCTTTGAGGACGAGGGGCCTGATTTCAACTGTTGGGTAATGCGGCTGATCCATCAGCCAATGAAGAGCGAGGCCGAGCCGACATACAGTGTAGGGATCCAAGGCTGAGTTGCTTGACTGAACTCCAATGTTTTTAAAATGACGTCAAGGTCCAGTTTTTTTCTCAGTGGCAGAGGCACAAGAAGATATGCTTTATCATCTAAGCTTGTTGACAGTGAACATTGTTTTTCTTGTGGGTGTTCCTTGTTTAGCATTTTCCTTAAGGGTGCGGTTGACCTGGATCAGGGTTACTTTTTCTAATCTTAGAAGTGGACGTGATCAAGTGATGGACCCTTGATGATGGGTAAATAAGACACCAAGGTATCTAACAGTCTCTCTCTTACGGTTTTGGTTATTTTCTTATTCTAAAAGGTAGCTATTGAAAACCTTTTTCATGTGCAGGTAGGTCTTCTGGGTATACATGCAGGTCGCTGGCATGCCAGCTGGCAAAATTAATAAAGAAGATTGGTCATTTCAATAGTATGGTGTGAGGCATTCTAGGAGGTTCCATTATTCCTGATGGCTCTGAGACTGGATGCATAATCCTGTGTAAGGAATTAATTGCTTTTTCTCTTTTGTGGTTATGTATTATGGGTGGGCATCTGGTAAGAGGCATCACACCCTATGGGGCTGCCATGAGCAATGGAACAAAACGTGGGCTGATGTCCAGGAAAACTTTGTGCAAGACAAGGCCTGGGCACTAGAAGTTTTCGTTAGCTTTGGTTACAGATGAGGATCAATAGTCCTATAAAAATCCAGTTTTTCAGTAGGAAAGACTCTTACCTTCCTGGTCACTTTATAAACTATTTAAACAGTGAGGGATCTGCTCAATAACCTAAGGCTTAGGTGGTACCAAGCTGTTTGAAGATCCATAATGGCAGACAAATCAAAATGCTTGGAAGTACAGGGTCTCTTTTGTTGAGTGAGTCATAGCCTGATTTAATAGCTGACAAAAATATGGTTGAGCGCTAACAAATTGATCTAGAGCTGTGCTGTTCCATGTGGTAGCTACTGGTCACATATGGCTATTTAAATTTAAATGAATTAAAATTAAATGAGAAATTCAGCTCCTCAATCACCCAGGGCACACTTCAAGTATTTAATATTAGTATAATAGCTAGTGGATATCATAAAGGACAATGACAATTCACGGAACATTTCCAATGCTAATCTTTTTTTTTTTAAACTTTATTTTTTTATTTTTTTTTTAATTGTTGCAATTTTGCCAGGGTTGGATTTGAACTCACCACCCTTGGTATATAGGGCTGACACCCTACTCACTGAGCCACAGGCACCACCCTCCAATGCTAATCTAAAAGATAAAAAGTCTCCAAAGATATTCTATCAAGAAACATCTTGATGACATGATTGACCATACATGAAAGGGCATGTCTAATTTTTATTCTGAACCCCCAGAACAGTGGTTCTCAACCTTCCTAATGCCGCAACCCTTTAATACAGTTCTTATGAGTTGTGACCCACAGGTTGAGAACCACTGCCCTAGAAGATTTGCAACAGAAAAGAAAGGGAGTAAGACCTTAATGTTTAGGGTAAATTGTGAAGCTTCCTTTTCTCAGGAAAGACACCTGTTAGGGTATCACTATGAATAATGGATATAGGCAAAGAGGTGGGAACAGGAACAGAGTATGTGATGCTTTGGGATCAAATGCTCTGAATGAGAAAGAGGTGACCCGGCTGGGCAGAAGGAAGTGGTCAACACTTTCGATAGTTGCACAAGAGGTGAGTGTGCCTGCCCTTGAGTTTTCTGGAATTTCTCTTGGCTTCTGACCTCCTCACCTTCCTCTATCTGATTAAGTTGGTAAGAACAGGTTGGGCATCCTAAGAAAAACATGAACCATAACACCTTTTTCTGATATAACAGATTCTCAATGCCTTCCTCAAAAAAACAAACAAAAAAGAAACAACAACAACAACAACAAAATAGTGATTCTTTTATTAGTCCTGTGTCTGTGTCTCTAAGACCTCCAAAGGAATAAAAGAAAGGGAAATAAAATTAAGAGCAGACACACCTCTCATATTAGTTCATGGTGCCTCTGGTGGCTTGTAGAAAGGGGACACATCTAAATCATTTTCAACAGAGTCTGAAGAAATATTTGATTGCCCCCTCTCACCCAAGTCCTTTAATATGGACTAAGGACTTAGGAAATGAGAAATTAAGAAGCAATGGTGACTGCTTGGGGTTCTCATCTTTAGGGGCTAGGTGACAGGATGCCAAAGGAAATTTATCTGAGGGTGTATGTTGTCCCTCATGAAAATTAGGAAGCAGGTTGAAACAGACAGTAAAAGAAGATCATTATTCATAGAACAGTTAGAAGGTTGAGGATAGCAGGAGCCAAGAGTAATTTCTAATGACGATACCAAGAGCAGTTTCCATGAACTGATGAGAACAGGAGAGTGGCTACAGGGCATGAAGAGGGAGTTTCCAGGGCAGAAACGAAAACATGAGCACTGGACCTTGTTTAGCCCAGAAAATTAAAAACTCTAGAACCCAATAAAAACGTGTGGCTATTTACATTTATAGGAATTAAAATTCGTGATGAATGAAGTCTCAGGAGAGAAAATCACACTGAATGCATAAATTCCTTTATTGAAAATATTGGGCTAGCACTGCATTACATATAGTCAATATCCATAAAGCCACATTTCTGATTGGACAATACTGTTTTAAGTAGAGAGAACGCAGCATCTGGATATGCTCTCACAAGTATAGTAGCATGGACTAAACTAGGTCAGAGTAAACTCTACGCGAACTGATCACTTTGTTTATTAATAGCGTATGGCTGCAGATGGCGCAAATGGTAAACGTGATCATCTTGAGACACTCCTGGCATCTGACACCAACACATTACTTAATGAGCAGATTAAGGTGAAACTGCTAATATGCCATCATCAAGAGTTCTCAGGAGGAGAAGCTGGGTGAAAGGTACACCCAGATATAGATTTCAAATTTTATAGCATTCATTTAAACTTGCATGGAATGTGAATAGATTATAATAATTGTGGGTCTGACAGGAGGCCACCAGACAATGTTAGACTTTTACCAATAGTCTACACTAGGAGAATTATCTAAAAGAAATAGTCTAAGAATTTTTTTAAGATGCAGATACTTAATTACTCTAAAAAACGTTTTTCTTTTTAAAGGTTAGTGAGGAAGTAATTTATGATAGACCACATCTCAGCTTTGGCTATTATTTGAAGTTTTTTTCCACTAGCAGTCTTTGGCTTTCGTAAAAATCTGGCAATCAATAATGTTGTTTAAGTTTTTTAACAAGGCTTTAGTATTGTTTCTAACAGAACATGTTTTATGATGTGAATATGGGTTATTCAAAAAATAGATTTTCTTTTTTATTCCAATTTTGGTATGAATGAATTTCTTTCCATTTTTTTTCTTGAACAAGTCTAAAAACCAAGACAAGTGGTCCAATTTGACATTTTTCATCTAATTTTTTAAAAACATAGAAATTAAAACACTCAGTTCCTTTTGGAAACAGGGGCCTGCTCATTAATGTAAAAGCTTGGGAAAGTTATGCAAAAAACACTATGAAAATAAAGTTTTTGTTATTAACACACATCATTTTATAAGAAGCAAAACATTTTCGTTTCCAAAGCAGGGTTTTTTCCTAAATCTAGTTTCATAAAGGTATCCATTTCTGTAAATATCAACTTAAGACTGTAAGAAATTGTATATTCTTCTTTACACAACTGTTTAGGGTAACTGAAAATGTGCCTTGTAAAGACTAAATGGAAAGATGGCCTATAATAGTCAAATCAATATTAGTGATGAGTTTTTAAAAATTCAGAATTATACACTCATATATATGCATATATACATACACACACACACACACACACACACATATATATGCTGCTTAAGACTTATCACCCTAAACAATCAGGGCAAAAAAAAGATAATATAAAACTATACAAAGCAAATGGATTTGTTTCCAAAACATAGCACAAAATGTATACATTTCTGTATTTCAAGATTTGACACGATAAAAGAAAAAAAAAAACCTGCCAACACATTTCAGACAATTTACTAGAAATAATAAATAAAAGTTTAAAAAAAATCATCTATTCCCTTTGAAGTGCTGTGCACTTTCAATTTTTCTAAACAAGACTAACCTTTTCCATGGCAAACAATAACTATACATTTTGGTAAGGAAAATTATGCTGATAAATACACAAGGCATGTATATATTTCCACAGTATCTTTTTTTTCACAGTTACCAAAAATAAAAATTGCATTCAACTCATACATCTATAAACACTCTGAGTCCTCACTGTGTGGACTTGAAGGAAGGAGAAGTACAAAGCCTTTCAACAACGTAGACTTCAAATTTCTCTCTTCCGTGTCTGCCCTCCACATGGACCTTTCCGAGTCTTTCTGCAAGGTGATGGCGCTCGAGATGATGGCAGAAAGAAAGCATTAGGGTGGTGTGAGGCAGCCTCAGCTGGGCCTTCCTCTTCCAGCCGGCTTTAGGAGGGCTGATCTAACCCAGTCTTTTTAATGCTGTAGTTTAAGGCAGTCTGAATGTCACTCAAATGTCCATACCTCTAGGTCCTGAACTATGAAGTCTTCCTTTTTGGAAAGAATATCATTATTGAAAGTGCTGCAAGAATTGCTCCGTCCATGATATAAATCAGCATCTAGCCATAGACCAAATCGTCCTCTGAAAAGGTTAAAAAAAAAAAAAAAAGGTTAAAAACATTTAAATTGTATGTGGCACACCTTCTATTTTCTCTAGACCCTCATCTTCTTTCTTTTATGCCATAGATAGGCAAAATTCCAAACTGCTTGTAAAGCCATGTATATGTATTCCCTTTTTTACATTTAAGGGACCTGTCTTCCTAAAATGCAAGTATAGTAATCCCTCATTTAGACGTATAAATAAATGATTTTATCACTGATCCTTTTTTTTTTTTTTTTTTGACACAGAGTCTCACTTTGTCATACTCAGTAGGGGCCATGGCATCACAGCTCACAACAACCTCAAACTCTTGGGCTCAAAGTGATTCTCTTGCCTCAGCCTCCCAAGTAGCTGGGACTACAGGTACCCGCCAGAATACCTGGCTATTTTCAGAGACAGAGTCTTACTCTTGTGCAGGCTGGTCTTGAACTCCTGAGCTCAGGCAGAGGTTCACCTGCCCTGGCCTCCCAGAGTACTAGGATTACAGGCGTGAGCCACTGCCCCTGGCCTTATCTTTGATTCTTAATGTTAAATCACTGTCCTAATTAATGTAAGCACATGGAATAGCTCAAATCATCTGACACCAGGGTTTTAGTTACGTGTTTCAAAACAGACCCACTCAGGTCAGGTGGTAAAAAACAACAACAAAAACCTTACCCTCCACCACCAAGTTCCAAAGAACTTATGTCTCCATTGATAAAATATGAGTTTTCTCCACTCCACTTGAAGACCTTGGGGTAGAAACACAAAACAGAGAGCAGGTGTTAATCTGAAGAATGAGCAACGAGAGATGCTCAGAAGGGCGTGAACAAAGAGGGATGTTGGGAGGTACAGAAGGCAGCACCTCACTATTGAGGAAGCTCCTGACCACCAGACCTGGCCCACACCAGCAGGAGATCCCCAAAGCTGTTATGAAATAGGAAAGACCTTTCAGGGACATGCTGGCTCTGACCTACGACTCCTCCTTGGAACTCAGACTGAGCAGTTTCTGTGGGGGCCCTAAGCAGTTTCTGTGTTACAGTCATGAAGGACTGACCCAGGCTGGAGTGAGTCTAGATGACTCACTACAGGACTGGGCTGCCTCAATGCCCTTACCCACTGGTGACACTGTGACATTGGGAAGCTGGGTATTTCTCTTATATAGGTACCTTGAAATTAGGGCTAAAAGTGTAGAGAAAAGTTTCTCCTGTGCCATAATAGTGATCACTGAACTTGAAAGGATGAGTTGCGTATGCTCCAAAAATCTGTCAAAAGAAAACAGAAATGTTACTTATGTTCAAACCTAACCAAGAACTTTCTGAAATATTTTTGACACATTCTTGCTCTGAGACTTCATTATTCCTCTTTCAGCAAGGATTATTACCTAATTGGAGCTCTTAAATACAAAATACCACCAACAAAAGAATAAACAAAATATCCCAAGTTTTAATTGAAACCCAAGTGGGCCAGGCTTCCTGGTGAATGGAAAATCCATCAGATGAAGCTCAGAGAACTTGTTTGTCAAAGGCCAACAATTTGTTCCAATTTTAAAAGACTTCTGAAGTCCACTATGGAGATAAAATTCCCTTAGTGAATACAGAAGACAAACTGGGAGCATTAAACAACAAGGTACATCTCAGACACAGAAACGAGACAACGCAGTCACATCTCGTGTGTGTTTTTAAGTGGAATCCTGTCTAGGCATTTCCCCCAAGAAAGTGGAGTCTCCTTCCTTTTGATTTCTAACAATGAGTTATCAATATGCTTATTAAAACTATGTCCTTAATACAGCTGATCCAATATGTCTTAGTTTGAATTGACTATAAAAAAAAACAAAACTCAATAATACCATGGTCTTCAAAGGTGATTTAGATGTGTTTAAGTCAATGATTCTACTACTTTTTCTTGTTGGGAGATAGAAAGAGCCAAGTTCTGTGAAGAGCAATATTTTTAGAATGTCCCTCCTTCTGATCCTGATCTGTACTGGCAGAGTGAGGACATTTTGAAGATATCACTAGGAGATTCCACTATACCTTTTCCAAATGCTACTTGACAAACATCATCTTAAAAATGTCTCATAATTTTCCATAAATTATTTTAGGATCACAATCGCGGCTCTTCCTCACTAATTACACTCAGTTCCTGACTACCTGCAACGCTAAATATTAGGTAGAAATTTTTTTTTAACTAATATTCTTCATACCTCCTGGTACCAAACCGTTCCCTAGAATTGCTAAGAACAAAGAAACACAGAATAGTAACATCTTTTTCCGTTTTCCTGGCAAACTTTCAGTAAAAGAATTAAGGTATAACTGAAATAGGCATTTTAAAAAGCATGGTGTTAAAATGTGACCAACAGAGCAATGGGTGCAGGTGGAAGAAAGCGAGTCCCTCGCTGATTAACAAACAGGAAAAGTCATCCTTACTCTCAACGGCCATAGAATGCTCAATAATCATTTTCTAACAACTTTCTCAATGATGATGGAATCCATTTAAGGACTAGGGATAGAATGATATCAAGGAAATACAATTAACGTTGTTAGGTTTACAGTGTTATAATTATGTAAGAAAACGTCTGTTTTCTTTTTTCCCTTTTTCTATTAATTAATTTAGAAAGATATTTTACAAAACAATACATATTTAATGATGGTATTATTAGTCAGCCTATAGTATATGAAATGCAGTATATTAACAATAACAGAACACAAGAATCCACAAGAATAGAAAAGAAATGATGAAAAGGAGGTTAACATGTTATAGAACACACAGATTCTGTTCTCTCTTAGCTCCTTTAGTAGACATACAAAATTATGTAAAGTCGTAATCATAACAATTTATTATTGGGTTTATAATACATGTGGATGCAGTATGTGTAAAAATAGCATTGATACTAAAACAGTGGGAAGATGCAATCGTGGAACAGAGGAATATAGGAGTAGTATTTCTATACCCCACTGTTATTAAGTTGGTAATTGGCTTTTCTAATTGCTTGATGATTGTTGTAATACTTTCAATCAGTGCCTGGTGGTATAAATAACTCAACAGTCTGATTTGGTTACATTTAGGTCCCTTTGCAGGGTAGTTTCGTTGGTCAGACTAAGAAGTTTATCAAGACTCCAGGAGGCTCTCCTTAGGCACCTGTTTTCCTAGGTCTCTCTGGTATACCAGATGGTCTACACCAGTGGTTCTCAACCTTCCTAATACCGTGACCCTTTAACACAGTTCCTCATGTTGTGGTGGCTCCCAACCATAAAATTATTTTCGTTGTTACTTCGTAACTGTAATTTTGCTACTGTTATGAATTGTAATGTAAATTATCTAATATGCAGGAGACTCCCAAAGGGGTCGTGACCCACAGGTTGAGACAGAGTCTGGCCACTGTTTAGCTTGTTGTTGTCATGGCTACCAGTCTCCTCGTAAACATTTTATTATCACAAAAGTTCTCATTGTTTTTTAGAAAGCCCTTTGGCTTGAACTTTCCCACATGCTTCTAAATAAAGTCAGTTCCCTAGGGAAGAACTTCAGTGTCCTGTGACTTACGGCTGCCTCTTCCCCTTGGCAGTGCCGCTGGTCTTGGCGTGGCTCACCTGGTGTGAACTTCAGCTCTGTAAGTGGCAAATGAGTGGAAGAAGAAGGCCTATCTCCACACTAGCCTGGATCTTAGCCTCTGAAACACAGAGGTTTTTTTTGAGACAAAGTCTCTGTCACTCTGGGTAGAGTGCCTGGTGTCATACCTCACAGTAACCTCAAACTTTTGGGCTCAAGCGATCCTCTTGCCTCAGCCTCCAAAGTAGCTGGGACTACAAGCACCTCCCACACTAGTTTTTCTACTACACCCAGCTAATTTTTCTACTTTTAGTACAGACAAAGTCTCACTCTTGCTCAGGCTGGTCTTAAATTCCTGAGCTCAAGCAATCCATCCACCTCAGCCTCCCAGAGTGCTAGGATTACAGGCATGGGCCACTGTGACCAGCCTGAAACACAGATCTTGGGTGGGAAATAAGAAATGCTGGGAACATGCACCTGGAAGGAGTCTATGATTGCCCTTGACTGGCAGCTGTGGGGGGAAAGAAGCCCCGCCTTCTTGGCCACACATAACTCACAGCGAACCCAACATCAGTCTGAGCTGAGGGTTGGAGAAGAGAAGGTTATGCCTCAAGTACAGCAGAATTTCACTGTTACTATTGAGATTTATTAGATTTTCTCATAGAAATCTTTCTTCACTTGCTATATGCCCTTAAGAAAATTTCCAGAGACTGCAAGTGATGGTTACTTTAATAATTTCTACCAGTTAGGGTTCTTTCACTGGGGATCAGACCTGAATCTGCAGAGCTCCTCACTGCTGCCAACCTACATGTGTAATATTTTTATTAGAATTTTATATAACTCGTATCCAGATACGTTTACAGGGGCTGTTCTGTCATGTTCTTAAACACGGCAAAGCCACATTCTCCCCTAGGGGGTAGACAGGGTGTGGAAAGTAGAGTCAGAGTCCAGGTGTCCTCAAACAGCACGAGTGCCTCCAGGTACGTGATTCAGTAAGTCTACCACCTGCCAAATCACACAACCTTCAGCTGGAGGCCTCCTTTCACATCTGCTGACAGGAAGCTTGGTGAAACCACTTCATCAACACCTGCTCTGGGTGGACCACAGCATTTCCTAACAAGTTTGGCATCTTGGATAAATAAAAAGAAGAACTAACCTACACTTAGGTGAGTGTTTGTGTGTATAAGACAATCTAGCCAAACCTCATCCAAAATGTTGCACCCAAATTCCGGAATATTTCACTAATTAGTAATTCCATTTTAACATTAATATTTTTATGTTTTATATTGATTCTTCCCACTATTCATCTTGGTTCATTATTAAATGAAATATCACCAAAATAATAATAATAATTAGACTCCTCTTTGCAACTCTTTTTTTTTTTTTTTGAGACAGAGTCTCAAGCTGTTGCCCTAGGTAGAGTACTATAGCATTACAGCTCACAGCAACCTCTAACTCCTGGGCTCAAGCGATTCTCCTGCCTCTGCCTCCCAAGTAGCTGGGACTACAGGTGCCCACCACAGCACCTGGCTATTTTTTGGTTGCAGCCATCGTTTGGCTGGCCTAGGCTGGATTTGAACCCGCCAGCTCAGGTGTTTGTGGCTGGCGCCAAGCCTCTCCTTGCAACTCTTAAGGTGCAATAACATTGCAATAAAGTCACACATATCACCATGGAAAGTGTGTCTTCGATACCCCCATCTCTCCACTAATTTATCCTAAGAAAAATTATGGCAATTAAATTCTAATTTGTTTTTCTTTTTGGGGGGGGGAAATAAAGTCTTGTTCTGTCTCCTGGCTAGAGTGCAGTGGTGCCATCAGAGCTCACTACAACTTCAAACTCCTTGGTTCAAGTGATCTTTCCAACTCAGCCTTCTGAGTAGCTGAATTACAGGCGTGTGCTACCATGCTCAGCATTTTTTCTATTTTTTTGTAGAGACAGGGTTTTGTTCTTGCTAATGCTGGTCTCAAACTCCTAACCTCAATTAATCTTCCCACCTTGACCTCCAAGAATGTTAGGGTTACAGGCCTGTGAATCACCACACCCAGCCTATGACAGCTAAGTTCTATTTCCCCTAAAACGATCTTGCCTTTATGGATCATTAAGAGGTAGGCATGTTGTCAATATAAAAATTCTATACTTCACAGCAAGCTCCCAATGCTTAACAGAGCCCAGAAAATAACAAGCACTCTTTAGACATTTGCTAAATGGATAAATAAATGAATGAATGGTTGTTGAGTAAAACCTGCCTCATTGTCAGAAAGTAGAAAAGGATGGTACTCGCATTTCAAAATCTTAGAGCAGAGGTTCTCAGCCTGTGGGTCGTGACCCTCAGGAACTGTATTAAGCATTAGGAAAGCCACAGCATTAGGAAGGTGTGGAACTACTGTCTCAGAGGAATTCCTTCTTAATATAATACAGATCAAGGGCTGGATCTGTATCTACCTGTAATCCTAGCACTTTGGGGAGGCCAAAGCAAGTGGATCATTTGAGGCCAGGAGTTCAAGACCAGCCTGGGCAACTGCAAGATCTCCTCTCTACAAAAAATAAAAAGTTAGGTGGCTGTAGTGGCATGTGCTTGACTCCCAGCTACTTGGGAGGCTGAAGCAAGAGGACACTTTAGTCCAGTAGTTTGAAGTTACAGTGAGCTATGGTGATGCCACTGTACTCTACCCAAGCATAACCCTATCTTAAAACCCTATCTTTAAAAAAAGAAAAATATATATATATATGTGTGTGTGTGTGTGTGTATGCATACAGTATGTTATAGTTCCTTGGGTGGTGAACTTACAGAAGTTTTATATATGTATATATATGGTTTTATATATGTATGTATATACATATATATGGTTTTATATATGTATATATGAAGTTTTATTTCATTTAATTAATTTATAGATATGTGTGTGTGTTTGTGTGAATATACAAAAACAATTTCCGGAGGTTTTAAAACCTCTGCAAATTGACCAGCCAGAAGACTATAACAAACTAGTCAACATATGGAACTAGGCCTACTATACTGGTAACATACATGTGGTATATGTCCAGTCTGTGAAAATTAGGTCACCAGGTTTGGTGCCTATAGCTCAAGTGGCTAAGGCGCCAGCCACATATAGCAGAGCTGGCGGATTGGAATCCAGCCCGGGCCTGCCAAACAACAATGACAACTACAACCAAAAAATAGCTGGGCATTGTGACGGGTGCCTGTAGTCCCAGCTACTTGGGAGGCTGAGGCAAGAGAATCGCTAAAGCCCAGGAGTTGGAGGTTGCTGTGAGCTATGATGCCACAGCACTCTACCCAGGGCAACAGCCTGAGGCTCTGTCTCAAAAAAAGAAAAAAAAGAAAAAAAAAAGGAAAAGAAAATTAGGTCACCTTAAGGAGGTAGTCAACACGGGAAGCAGTTAACATGTATATCAGCACAGATTAAACTGAAATACATGCGGAGCAGACTTGAGTGATGCTTTCTCTGTGTTATGCAAAAGCCTAACTGGGTAGTGCCTAAGAGAAACCTAGACAGATTCCACTCGCGGTCTAGGCTGAATTGAGGGAAGAAGTGACAGTGTAGGGTAGAGAGGCATACCATCTAGATTTCACTACTGCCTCCAAGGAAGACCAACTGTAACACAGACGAAGGTGCAGGCAGGAACGATGTTGTGCATCTCTTACTGGGTCCCCTAGGCACAGCACACCATGCCCTTGACAGGCTTTCACAGCCGGCATGCAGGCAAGGTCTGCGGGCACCACTTCAGCTACCCAGCAAAGCTCTGGCCCCAGAACTTACTTCTGCAACTATCTCCAAATCCAGATTTGACTTTCCCTCCAATTTTTCCAGCTGTAGAATATCATTATACTTTCCTAGTCCATGGTGAGTACAGGGAAAAAAAAAATTCTTAGAACACAACTGTATTTGTAAATATGCTCCATTCTCCTTTTAGAGATGATTCTGAAATTTGTTAGTGTGAAATGACATAACAACTGGGATTTACTTTAAAATTCTTTGGCAAAGAAAAAATGAAGATTAAACAATGACCAAAAAAAAAAAAAAAACCAACAACAGATGAAGCAGATGTGGCAAAATCCTACCAACTATGAAATGTAGGTGACGGGAGTTCAATGTACCAGTCTCTCTACTATTGAGTAGGTTTGAAAAACCATCACCGGCTCGGCGCCTATAGCTCAACCGGCTAAGGCGCCAGCCACGTACACCTAAGGTGGCGGGTTTGAATCCCCAGCCTGGGCCCGCCAAACAACCATAATGGCTGCAACCAAAAAATAGCCAGGCGTTGTGGTGGGCGCCTTTGGTCCCAGCTACTTGGGAGGCTGAGGCAGGAGACTCGCATGAGCCCAGGAGTTGGAGGTTGCTGTGAGCTGTAGTGCCATAGCACTCTACCCAGGGGGACAGCTTGAGGCTCTGTCTCAAAAAAAAAAAAAAAAAACCATCACTAAAAAATGTTCTCTATGAGAGGAATAGGCCTCACCTGATTATCCATATCTTTGATGACCAACAGGACAGGACTGTCTAGTGATGCTGATTTTCGATAGAGCGTTTTCAAGCTGGTCCCATGCTCTAATGTGCTATAGGCCAGTCTCCATGGATACCCTTGCACTCTTGCTGGAAGGCGGCGGGCCAGCTATGAATCCAAAGAAGGAGATGTAACTACATGGTTTGGGAATAAAGCACTCATGAACATGAGGTATAAAACAAGTGCCTGACTCAAACTCAAAATCATACATATATTATTTCCCTTTAATCTGGCAAACATTTGCCACTCTAAGCCAAGAGAAAGAGAGGAAAAGCATTGCTTAACAGGGTCTACCTTGGCAGGGATGCTGCCCAGAGGATGTTTCCCTACTTGGGGACCTGACTGAGGGGTCCCTATGCCATTGTACATTTGGAGGCACAGATCAAGCCAAACAGAGTGTTATTAACTAGACAAATGCTCTTCCTTCCCATTTCAACCTGACTTTCATCAATTAGTTCAGTTTTCTCCAACTGTTCTTTCCCCTCATAGGCTCAGAGCTGCTACTGACAAATGCAGCTTCCCAAAGAATTGAGAGCCTGAAAATCTAAGTGTTTTATGCTGGAAGTTGGATTTAGTCTGTCCTCATCACACCTGTGTCTTTCACCTACATCAATGTTTAGCTTAAACATGGCTGCCTCAAGTACCAGTAATGTACATTACCAAAGAAGGCTATGGTGTGCTAAGTCTTCAGAGTGCTTAAACTCAGTTCTAGTATCATCATGAAGCCCATCTCTATATCTGCTTGGTCAAGACTCTTGGCTTTATTGGGCCATCACTGGTTCACCTATAAACTGAGGGAGGTGAACTTTATTTTTCTTTTTTGAGACAGTCTCACTCTGTTGCCCTGAGCAGAGTGCCTTAACATCATAGCTCACAGCAACCTCCAACTCTTGGACTCAAGCAATCCTCTTGTCACAGCCTCCCAAGTAGTTGGGACAACAGGTGCCTGCCACAACACCAGCTAGTTTTTGTATTTTTAGTAGAGACAGGGTCTTGCTTTATTTAGGCTGGTCTCTAACAGTTCAGGTGATCCACCTACCTACCTGGCCAGAAGTTGAACTTCTTAAAGATCTCTGAAATTTAGGTTTCTAAACTAACTGATGAGAGAGATGTACAAGAGAGTCCTTAGTAAGGTTCAAATAAAAGCACGTTAATAGCATTTCATAAAATTCAAGTAACAGATTTTCAGAAAATATAAAGGCAATTATAGAAAAAGAAAAATTCATTGGAGAGACAGAGACATTTTACATAAAGTGACAAGGTATTTTATTACTTTTACTGAGCCCTAGTCATGAAAGCTATTGGAATGCTGCAGTAATCACTAGAATAAATTTGGATCCTTTTTTGAGTCCACCAGGACTCTGGCAGGACACTTAAACAATTCTTGTTGTTTCAGATAAGAGATGGCCTTCCCTTCAGGTGTGAGAGAAGGCTGCTAGCCTCTGACCCACTCCTAAGGAGGCAGTGGGGGATGTGCCTGTCACTGTTCAGAAACAGAGTTGGGAGCCTCTGGTCTCGGGAAGCACTGGCCTTCCACCTTCCTTACGTGACTCTCTCTTCATCCCCACTAAGAAAAAGCAAAGGCAGGCGGGGTGGGAGACACACTTCCCGGCCCTGGGGGCGCCCACCTGCTCTATGTGCATGTTCTCCAGGAGCGCACTGTGGGGCTGCAGAACCGGCAGCGCCTCCTCCTCCTCCTCTTCACAGTAGCTGCACGTGCTCTTCCTGCGCTTTGCCTCCTCAACGGTAATGATCTGCAAGGAGGAGACAGGAGCCCGAAACATAAGAGACTTGCTCTTCCTCCACCTGCCAGGAATACTATCTCAGGTCCATGACTGCCTGAAACGGTGGAACTTTGGCAGCATGAGATAAATCGAAGAAGATTTGGAAGGGAAATGGCTAAGTTTTCAATTTCAGGACAAATGCAGACTTTAAGGCAGTTAACACATACACATTAAAATCACGAGTATCCCAGTTTGATGCTGGCTGACGGCTCCCTCACTGAGAGTAGCGTATAACTCCAGGAGCAGCTCACGCCTCTGAAATGCCTTAATTTATTCTCCTCCAGCCTACACCTAAATTTGAATTCTTAAGTGCCTAATCAGAGACCTGTCAGTATCTCTTCTATAAATAGAGAGTTTGGGATGAAAGGATAGTTGTTAATCAAGATTCCTGATGTTTTCTCTTTAGGTTTTACACATGGCAAATAATTCTAACAGAAACAGTGCCTGCTAACAGCAAGCAGGAGGAACACTACAATGACACACAAAGCGTTCAAGTCTCAATTATGAGGACGTGATGATCCTTTTACACAGTTCAGAAATGATCAAAGTATTCTTCCCTCCTACAGTGAAGAGCACTGTACTGTCCACGTGTTGTCCTGTACAACACTTACTACTTAATTACAGCCATGCTTATGAACTACCACGTCCATTTTACCTTAAAATCCATTTTTTGGCCAGATTTGATTCTGATTCAGAATAAATCACTGAATTATTTTTGAAAATGAAGGATATATATTAGATTTCTTGGTCTTTTAACTAAGATCAGGCAAGGATTACAGTAGACAACTAGTTCATCAAAATTCCTGTGTACCAGCATTAGTGACTTTTACAGTAAAGACAAAACATTTAAGACACATGAGTAAAAGTTATCAGATAGTTTACTACTCAAATTCCAAAGTGTACAGTGACGAAGTACCTGCTGCTGTCTGAGTCAGATTTACAGGTGAGAAAATTAAGTGCGTAAACGTTACCATCTTCTGGGTGAGTGTTTATGAATCAAAGAATGACAACTATTGAAGAAGCACAAATCTAGCATTAAGAATATTAAATAAAGTACCATGGTTTAGGCAAAATCTACATTTATCACAAGTATAAAGTGAGGCTGTGGAGCAAAAAAAAAAAAAAAAAAAAAATCAAATATACAGATTGGGAAATCTGCAAAGGGAAGGGGCAACCATACCATGTTCCCGTTCACAATGAATAAAATCCCTGCACTGGTTGAAATGTCAGCACAACCCTAGCTAAACAGAAGGAATTTCAAAACAGACTGAGTGGCAGGTCACTCAGAATTCACCAGTACCTTCTTGGGGACACACTCAAACATACCTCCACAAAAGGCTCTTGGTCAGGTCTGGCACAATAGAAAATCTGGATGTCCAGGGGCAATCTTCGGCCTCTCATGGTTAGCAGAGAGAAGTGTGGCTTGCTCTCTAACGAGGACGATGTCTTTTTCTCTGCCTCCCGACCACGGTTACTTGTAGCCACGCTGAGCTACGACTGTTTTTTTCAGTATCTAGTTTCCTGCACGACTGAGTTTCTGTTTCCCTTAGGAGAGGGTTCGACATTTCTACAGGAACACACCCAAATTAGGATTTAGAGCACTCACTTCCTGCCTGGCAGAGCTGTGAGACTGTAAAACGACACCTTCACCTTTGAAACAGTGATTTCCTAACGCTACCTACCTGCAAAGAAACCTCCCCCTTTGTTTTTCCTTTTCCTTCTTATTCTTTTCTCCTTATTTGTCCTCCAGCGAACCCAGCTTTTCTAGCTCTGCCTTTTCAGAATTTCTTTTCCGCAGCATTTTATTTAAAGACTGACTCTCCAGTTTAAATGTTCTGTTTCCTGGAATCAGTTTGAATCTCAAAGGAAGGATAAAAAGGAGCCTTTAAGGGAGGCAGTTTCCTAACAGTGAAAACAATGGTATTTCTGGCATTTCACTTCAACACCAAGTCCTGTTTGCTGAGTGTAGGGGACTTCAAAAAATGAGGGACTGGTTCAGGTGAGGCTGTAAATGTTTCATCTTAGATGTACTTTTACAAATAGCTGGCTACATAATATTTATCCTTTCACATTTTACAATTAGTCTTAATGAGTAAGAAGCATAATGAATCCTCCTCTACCCCTTGGATCAGGTATCAGGGGACTGGAAAGAAATGTAGTTCACCACTAGGTCAATTTCCAATGATCACTCTGGGACTCTTCCAGATCTGAAGTGGCCTTTCTTTCAGTCATGGGGACTGATAAGGGAACTGGATCAGAGGGCTACTGGATAGCTCGTCCTGGGGGTCAGGTGTAAAGAGGACTTTGGCAGATAAGTAGGAAACAGCCTCAGGTCATCCAGAATCAGCTCTCAATGAAAGAGCCTGGGCACAGGCTGAGGCAGAGTATCTGGGAGGCAGTGTTCTCACCAGGCCTGGCTAATGTTGAGTGAGTACTTTCTATATGATGGTGTGAGAGCGTGTAGTGAGAGTAAGATGGAGTCAGTCAGGCAATGGCCAACATGCCACAGCTGGTCTGGTCCATTTAGGTCCTCCTGAACTTCACTGCTTGCCTCCCATTCTTATTGTTTTATAAATTTAGCTCCCACCCTAAAGATGCGTACCTTGAATATTTTGAGAATTGACTTAGGAAACTGACTTTTGAAATGTTATAATAGTCACTGAGTTATGCTGATTTTTATTTGAAATAAGGGTTAACAAGGTCTTCTCTCTGAACTTTTATGCATAAAACTGTGGTTTTGGAAATGGAAGAACAGAACAGTTGTGGAGAGGCTATTCTCACTGTTCTCCAGAGTCTCTGGCCTTCTGACAAAGTTCGGTAGACCTATCCCCATCTCTGCATATTGGCTGCCAGTGACAGGCAGCTGGACTCTCCAGCTCATCCTTAGCCTTTCTCTTTATCTGGTAACAGGCGCCAGATGCTTTGCTGGGCACAGGGACATATAGCCTCCCATAGTCTACACAGAGTGAGGAGACCAGTAGAGACACAACTATAAATAAATAGATGCCATTCCGTGTGATGCAGACACTAAAGCAATAATAGTAGGTGCTCAGAAGAGCCTGGGGCCAGCTGGGGGGTTCTGAGGGGCTCACGCAGAGCATGGGGTGTGGGGAGTTGTGCCATGTGGAAGGACAGAAGGAATACAGAGATGGGTTCTAGGGTTACTACTGCTGGGGCATGAAAGGGAAGTAGAAATGAGGAAATAGAAATCTGTATTTGAAAAATACAGATTCCAAGTTTCCTACTCCAGATCTACTGAATAAGTGTCTCTAGTGGTAAGGGTCTAGGATTTGTTTTGTTTGTTTGTTTGTTTGTTTAATCCCAGGTGATTATTCTAATGGCTAGCCAGGTGGGTAACAATTGATATATAGACACTAAGAGGCCACTGAGGCTTTTAAGCGAGGAATGCATGAAGATGCTGGGGGTATTTTTTCTTTTTAAGATATGGGGTCTCACTCCATTGCCCAGGCTAGAGTGCATGATCATAGCTCACTGCAGCCTTGAATGCCTGGGCTCAAGTAATCCTCCTGCCTTAGCCTCTCAAGTAGCTAGGACTACAGGTATGTGCCACTACGCCTGGCTAGTTTTTCTGATTTTATGGTAGAGATAAGGTCTTGTATGTTGCCCAAATGGGTTTTGAACTTCTGGCCTCAAGTGATTGTCCTGTCTTGGCTTCCTAGAGTGCTGGGATTCCAGGCGTGAGCAACTGTGTCAGGTCTACTTATGTATTTTAGTGATATTGAAGAAATAGCACAGTCCATATATAAGCCCTTTCAACATGATGAAGGAAATATTATAAATCATTAAGTATGTTATAAAAACTATTGGAAATATCACCTATCATAACATCAAAAAATCAACTATAAAGAGTTTATGGCCACTTATACATAAAAGTACTAGAATAAAATAACAAAAAAAATGAGCAAAATTAAAACACAAATAACAAACTAGGAAAAATCTGTCAAAAATATGAAAGATAATATCCTTAATCATAAAGAACTGAAAGAGTATAATAAACTGTTAAGATTCTTTTAGGATGGCTCGGCTCCTGTGGCTCAAGCGGCTAAGGCGCCAGCCACATACACCCCAGCCCGGCCTGCCAAACAACAATGACGGCTGCAACCAAAAAATGGCCAGGCGTTGTGGCGGGCGCCTGTAGTCCCAGCTACTTGGGAGGCGGAGGCAGGAGACTCGCTTGAGCCCAGGAGTTGGAGGTTGCTGTGAGCTGTGATGCTATGGCACTCTACCCAGGGGGATAGCTTGAGGCTCTGTCTCAAAAAATAAAAAAAAAAAAAAGATTCTTTTAGGAAAATGGGCAAGTGAGTGAACATCACAAAGAACAAACACAAACGGCTAATACATATTTACATTTATCCTCAATGGTAATCAAGAAAATAAACATTGGATTATATCATTTCCTAGCTTTGAAATTAGCAAGTATTTTCAGAAAAAAATGATAGCAATAATATTTTCTCTTGGCAGAAGCACACTTAGAAGAGTTTTCCTCACACTGCTGGCAAGTTAACCTGGCATTATATAAAAAATTAGGAACCTTAAAAAATTAGTATCACATAATTTTACTTCTAGGAAACTAAGGCAATAATTAGAGATACAGGTCATCTCATTCTTGGGAAAAGCCTGAACCAATAAAATGATTCCAGAAGTGGAAAACTGTTAAATACATTATAACAGCAATGAAAAATACTATGTAACAATTTATAATGAGGTTCTTAATAATCTTTAATAAAAAACTTAACAGTTTTCACAATATGTCAAGTGAGAAGAGCCAGATACAAAACTATAGTTAGAGCATAACTCCATTCTGCAGAAACGAAAAGCAAGACTCACTCCCACCACCTAGAAAATACCCTGAAACAAAATAGAAAAAAAAAAAAAAAGTTGATTCAAGTGTACAAAAGTTTTAAGTGTTGTTAGATGTTATTTCTAAATTTTCTGCATTCTACCTTTCTATAATTTCCAAGTTTCCTATAATATGTAGCTATTACTTTTATAAAAGGAGAAAACGAAGCTTATTTAAGGATCTTGCCTATGGGAAGATGAACTGGTGGTTGGATTGGGACTATAGGTACCCTTGGGATCCAGGAAAGCTGAGAGTCTGACCATGGCAGGGGTGGTAGAGGGCAGCAAAGGCACCGGTCCCACTTAAGATCAGAACCAAGATTCTGACTTATTAAGACATGACAAAGGAGAAGAATCTGGGATGATATCTAGGTTTCCAGCTTGAGCACCATTAAGATGGAAATACACAGATGGAGAAGCAAGTTTGGAGGAAAGATGATGAACTCTTTTGGCCATGCTTAGGATCAGACACCTAAGCCTGTAGGGAAGTAGGAGACTGCTCTTGCCCACCCACAGAGGAGGAGCAATGCTGTGATGGAGCACTGGCTTTCGGGTAAAGCTAGTGAGCAGAGCTTCCTTCTGCATAGGCGGGAGCATGGCCAGCACTCCTCTCCTCACTGTACTTTTGGACTCTGTCTTCCACGTTAATAGAAAGTAGGGATAAAGTGGCCTGGACAGTCCAGTCACCTCTCTCCTGCTCTTTTTTCTTTCCACATGTCACGAGCACTGGCCAGAGTGCTGGAGTTTTGACAGGCTACCTACTACTTCCTCCTTCACCATCCCTTCTCCCTTCCTCTTCCTCTGAAGGTCCAGATTCCAGAGACCATCTTCCAGAAGGACCTCACCTCTCATTCTTTTCAGCATCTGGGTCAAAGAAGTTCTGGGGCAACCCTACTCTCCCAACTCCGGATCCTGAAGTAGACCTTTCTCACTCTGCACGCCTCTTTAGCTTCTTTCTTCTGGGATTGGTACATGTGGCCCATTCCCTTCCCCAGATACACATACTCCCTCTTCTGATCTCAGATCTGGGAAGCTTCTCTGATGCCCCTGGCTTGGTTCAGGCGACCGACTACATCATCCTATTTGCACTGGACACTTTATTATGATGGCAGTTATTGCATTATATTATAATGATTTATCTTTACTCTTTGATGTGAAACTCTACTTACCTCATTCATTGTGCTCCTAGCAAGGAAAGGACTTAGGAAGCACTCAGAAAAAATTATCAAGTGAGTTTTGGGCCAAGAAAAGGAGCGTGAATTTTTTCCATTAAGTAAAAAAGACCTGCAACATTTTTCATCCACAGGAGTGACCTGACTTAACTATAAACCTCATGAGGTCAGGGACTATCCTTACTATGTTTACGACTGTATCCAAAACACCCAACATAGCACTCAGCAGACACTCAAATGAATGAAGCTTTCCTAGAAAGATGATATGAACTAAGATGGAAAGGATGGGCTGGAAGGAGAAAGGTCAATGTGGTGAAATCAGTTTGTGAGATGTGGCAAACGACAGCGAGTAAAGTAGTATCAGTGGTTACCGAAGCCAGATGTAAGAGACATTGCTGCAAAAGGATTGCAAAAAATTGGGGGCTATTCAGATGGGAAGATAAGGGAGAGAGAACAGTCGATGATGCAAACCTTTCTAGTTTGGGTGATGGGGATTCACTGAGGGTTACACTGACTGCATTTGTTAGGTAACGTCCCTTTTATAAGGTGAGAAGGGATTGATGCAGCCATTAACAAAATGACGGTGATATGGAGCAAAATCAGAACCCTGAGGACTGGAGTGTTGGGTTAGGGAGGGTCCTGGCCACAGGTGGACATGTCGAGTTAGCACGTAGACTAAGCCTGCAGGCGGGCAGAGAGGCTGAGAAAGCAGTCAGAGAGCCAAGAATGGTGCTCACTGAGGGCTCTAGGAGCAATGGAGGAGAACAAGAATAGAAATATGGGGGAGGAAAACATTTAAGAGGTTAGGTGAGGGAAAGGAGTGGAAAGAAATGTCAGGGGAAGTTAGGTGAGGGGGGAGCATGGTGCTAAGTAAGCCAAGTGGTAAGAGTGTTAGAGCTTGGGTGAGGTCGGCTGTGTCAAAGACAGAAGAAATCCACAGAGAATGAAGATGGCTATCTAGGGGTCTATGGTGGCCTTAGATGGTGATTTCAGTGGTGACTGGAGAACAAGCTGAGCTTCAAGATGATGACGATGAAAGGGCAGTTGAGAAATTGGAGACAAAGGGTTTGAGCCAATTTTTTAAAGAAGTTTGATGGTGAGAGAAAGGAGGGAGATAGGGAAGAACCTGGAAAGAGATTAAGGATGAAGAAAAGCTTCTTCCCATTTTAAATAAACATCTTTATCATAACTTGGTAAAAGAGAGGGAGCTAGGAAGGGAGAACAACGACACACAAAAGGACAGTTATAACTGACCAAACAAGAACAGCCTTAGTAAGGGGACAGGTAAAGCCATCTGAGCCAAAAATGAGGGGTGCAATAGCAGCTGAATTAAGAGCTGCAGAAGGGGCTTGGCATCTGTGGCTCAAGCGGTTAAGGCGCCAGCCACATACACCTAAGGTGGCGGGTTCGAATCCAGCCCGGGCCCGCCAAACAACAATGACAGCTGCAACCAAAAAATAGCTGGGTGTTGTGGCGGGCACCTGTGGTCCCAGCTACTTGGGAGATGGAGGCAGGAGACTCACTTAAGCCCAGGAGTTGGATGTTGCTGTGAGCGTGATGCCACAGCACTCTACCCAGGGGGACAGCTTGAGGCTCTGTCTCAAAAAAAAAAAAAAAAAAGCTGCAGAAGGAAGGTGAGGATAATCTTGTCCCCTGGTGACTTCTTTGTAAAATGAAGGAAAAGCCAACCTCTGGGATTCATGAAGATGAAGTGGGCTAGAGAGCTTAAGAAGAATGGCAAGAGGGCAGCACCTGTGGGTCAAAGGGGTAGGGCGCTGGCCCCTTCTGCTGGAGGTGGCGGGTTCAAACCCAGCCCTGGCCAAAAATAAACTGCAAAAAAAAAGAAGAAGAAGAAGAAGAATGGCAAGAGGTTAGGAAATGAATGAAGTGACGAAGTACACAAAAGGCAGCCACACATTGCTGGAGGAACTCAGTTGAACTCAGAAATCATGTATTTGTAATGCCACCTTTCCCCTCATTGGACAGGTTTTCTCCAGCAATGTGTGGCTGCCTAGTAGCAGAGAACGTATGAGGGTGGATTCATCCGGGACTGCAGGCAGGCTGGATGCATAAAGTGGACAGAAAAGGGGCTGAGTACTCATGAGTCCTGTTAAGGGTGTCCCTGAATTCATTACATCTGCCTAAGCTGGCAAAGAAGAAATGCTTTGTGGGATCCAGGAGTGGCGGAGAACAGCAAGGAGTGATGATTAAATAGACACCAGCGAGATTCATTCGGATGAAGGACAGGCTTAGCGGCAGGAAAGAGGAGCAGACATACTTTTCGTTGCTTCATCTTCCATCATCCCTGTTGGGCAAGCTTATTAAGGACACAGCCTATCTTACCATCACCATATTTCCAGAGCCTCCCCAAAAGGAGTACACGGTACATGCTTGCCTGATTAGGAGAAGGGATCTGGGATTTGGCAAATTATAGCCTGTCAGCCATATATGGCCCACAACCTGTTTTTGAATAGCACATGAACTAAGAAGGTTTTTTCATATTTTTAAATGATTAAAAACAAAACAATATTTTGTGACCTAGAGTAACTATATGAAGTGGAACACAGCAATGCTCCTTCATTTATTGCTGGTTTTGCTCTACAATGACAGTAATTAATTATATGGCCTGCAAAACCAAAAACATTTAATACCTGACCTTTCACCAAAAAACTGTGCTGACCTCAGAACGAAGGCATGGCGTTACGAGTGAGAACATAAGTGGATCCACGGAGTGTGGTCAGAATGAACCACGTACACATGTGTGTGGTGATATCTTTCTGACACATATAATTAGCTTCAAACATAAAGAATAAAGTGATCTTCCCTATGCTTTCATCAGTGCACAAGGACCCCAACTTCTTACCAGCCAGTTCCTTGGTATCTGACCCTGAGTACATTTTGACTGCACACTGCACTTCAGGGACAGGACAGGCTGATCCTAAGTGCTCTCACCTCCCAGCTCTTGGTCGTCGGCTCACTGAAGAAGTTGTCAATCATGTTCAGTTCTTCCTTTTCCACCACCACAAAGCCTTGCTCTTTGGCATCTTTCCCATAGACATCAGGAGACCACTGAACAAAGAACGTGTACAAATGATCCACCCTGAAAAACATGTTTGTGATAGCTGTTAACACCTAGTCTGCTTTCTTGATAGACACTAGTAGGCACTTAGGTACATAGACCATCTTTCTCCTACTAGGCAAATCTATTTTGCCAATTGGAAAATTTCACGCTGCCAAAATTATCTCTGAATGACCTTCCAAACTCAGACAAACAGGAGCCAACAGAATAAAGGCAAAGTCCACAGGCACTGAGAATTGTTCAAACTGTCTTCCAATCTGAGGGATGGACCACGAGTTGGAACATGAAACTAGAAAACACAGTGAAATATTGACATCAAATGGTTTTCTTCCTTTATTAAGTCTTCATTTATTGAATAACGGTAATCATTGAGAAAAAATATATAGATCTAAAGCTTTTGCTGAGTACAAAGATAAATAATACTCCAGCAGGTCTTTATGTAGCTCAAAGTATTATTTAGATTATAATTTTAATAAAATGTTTGATAACTCACAAGTGTTAGAAATAATACCAACTATTATTATTTTTTTTGAGACAGAGTCTGACCATGTCACCCTGGGTAGAGCGCCGTGGCATCACAGCTCACAGCAACCTCAAACTCTTGGGCTTAAGCGATTCTCTTGCCTCAGCCTCCCAAGCAGCTGGGACTACAAGTGCCTGCCACAATGCCCGGCTATTTTTTGTTGCAGTTGTCATTGTTGTTTAGCTGGCCCCGGCCAGGTTCTAACCCTCCAGTCTTGGTGTGTGTGGCTGGTGCCGTAATCACTGTGCTACGGGTGCTGAGCCCTAACTATTATTTCAATAGTAGAAACAAGTCCCGATTTTATTGACATAGTCATGTACTTTGCTTCCAATTTCTCTGTTCTTTTCATACATATTTATTATATGAAGGTTTTGAAACATCTCTCCACACTCCATCAATAGAAATATGCAGAGTTCCTGAGCAAAGAATGGGAAATCTTAGTTCTAGGACTTGCAATATCCCCCCAGTCACAACGACAGTCACAACCATTCTGACCTTAGATTCTACAGTTTATCACAATACATCACAATATGGGAAAGAACAGTGAGTAGAATAAAATCATTCTTAAAGTCTCTTCTTATTGCAAAACAGTAATTCCAATTTGAGGCTACTGTTTTGGACAATATCAACTTATCATCAACTTCAAAATTTATAAACACATAAAAATAGTAAGACTCAAACAGAAACAGAAATATTATTGTGATGTAATAAATAAATCAAACTGTTTTTAGGTTTCCACGTTCCTATCTGCTCTTATCCATGTGTATGCATGGTTTCTACACAGCTTTCTCTTCAGTGCAGTTAGAGCCAAGATATAACTGTTTGTTGTACAGTGCATAATACACATTTACCACGTTGCTAGTCTTCATACCCATTTTTAACAGCTACAGTTCAGGGAATTAATAAGCCACAATTAGCCTGTGTTCTGACACTGCCAGGATATTTAGGTTTCAGTTTCTATTTCTTTGATTTTATAAATGATGCTCCCGTGAAAATCTAAACTGCCTTTTCCCATCATTTGAATTATTTCCTCATAATCAGTTCCCAGAAAATAGATTACAGAGCCAAAGGGCGTGATTTTGCAGATCTAGATTCATCTTGCCAAACAGCTTTTGAAAGCTTGGCTAGTTTACTCTGACATCAGCATTGTAGTTTGTGTATAAATTACATTAACAACTTTATCCTAAAAAAAAAAAAAAGAATTTAACATATGTACGTTTCACCCAACTCATTTTGCCATTCTTTGAGTACTAAGGCTCTGAATATTTTCGGCGTTTTCTTCCTGGTTACAGGTTTTCTTTTGTGAATTGGCTCTTTGTGACTTGTGGCATCGATGTTCATTTCAATTTCTGGGAGCTTTTATGTAATGTGAACATTAATCATGATCAAATGGGTTTCCAAGCTGTTGTTTCCCTTTTTATATTAATCATGTCTCTTCCCTACTTATTCATACACCTTAAAGGTATATTTCGCTTTAGATTTGTCCTTCGAAACATGAAAAGCTGTTATCCAAGACAAGTCTATGTCAGTGTATGATACGTTAACATTCTATTAAAAAATACCTTATAGATATTGATAGCTGCAATAATTGCATATGTACATAATGGTTATGTTTCAACTTGATGAGGCCAAGGTACCTAGTGTTTGGTCAAATGCCAGCCTAGATGTTGCTGTGGAAGTATTTTGAAGATATGATTAACTTTTAAATCAGTAGACTTTGATCACCCTCGGTAGGGTGAGTGGGCTTCATCCAATCGGCTGAAGGCCTTACGAGAAAAGACTGAGGTTCTTTAAGAAGGAATTCTGCCTTCAGCTGTCTTCAAACTTGATACTGCAACATCAACTTTCCCCAGGCTCCAGGCTGACAGCTTGCCCTGAAATCTTCAGACTTGCCTGCCCTCACAACTGCATGAGCCAATACCTTCAAATAAATCTCTCTCTCCCCATATATATATGTAATACATGTCTTATTGGTTTTGTTTCTCTGGAGAACCTTGACTAACACAACAGACTCTTTTGAAAGGCTGCAAAAGACATTGATCAAAATGGTTACCCCTGGAGAATAAAATGGGGTGGGAAAATGACTTTTTAAATCATATCTATACTTCTTTAAATTATTTTAATATTTGGAATAGGCCGTACATTTATATCATCCAAGCATCAACATTCTCTTTTAAAAGTCATATAATGAGAAGTGTCCTTCTTCCATCCCCGTCCAGCCCAAGTCCCATAAGTGACCATTCATTTTTGTATTTGTAGTACTATTTATTTAGATAAATCAAGTTATATCTTTGTTGTCTTCCCTTTTTATTATTCTCTACCTTGACTTTTCACTTACCAATATACCCCAGATATCTTCCCATGCCAGCATATGGACAGCTTCCTCATTCTTTCTTTTGTAACTACGCAGAATTTTACTAAGTGAATTTACCTTAATTTGTGTCAGCATTCTCTGTTCCAAGATTGTGTCATGAGGAATTAACCTTGTAGGTGAGTCACTTCACATGAGTACAGGTAGATATTCCCCAAAGTAGAACTGCATTGTTAAAGGAATGCAATCTTTTGGATGTACAGCGGCACATTGTTCTGTAAGGGGATTATATTATTTTTGTCCTCCCACCAGCAATACATATCTTTTTTTGAACCTCAGAATTATTACCATGTGGTATGAACATCCCTATTAAAAATTAACTTTGAAAATATGAAATAGGCTCGGCGCCTATAGCTCAACCGGCTAAGGCGCCAGCCACGTACACCTAAGGTGGAGGGTTCGAATCCCCAGCCCAGACCCGTCAAACAACAATGACGGCTGCAACCAAAAAAAAAATAGCCGGGCGTTGTGGCGGGCGCCTGTGGTCCCAGCTACTTGGGAGGCAGAGGCAAGAGACTCGCTTGAGCCCAGGAGTTGGAGTTTGCTGTGAGCTGTAATGCCACGGCACTCTACCCAGGGGGACAGCTTGAGGCTCTGTCTCAAAAGAAAAAAAAAAGAAAATATGAAATAAACCACCAGTCCAGAGAGGTCTGTTAAGTATATAATTTTAACTCTCTTAGTATTTTTTAATATTTAAAAATTTAGTCCATATTGAATGTCTTTTGGAGTAGAGTTGAGAACCAAATATGCCTCACTCTGTAGTTTGGAAAAGGAAATACTACATGCATATCCACATTGGATAAAATCTCTGGGCACAGATGGCTTCCTGATACTTGTTGGCTAGCTTCCTTGTAAGAGAAGAAAATCTGGGAGCTAGCTGGTACGATCGATCGGTTAGGTGTTGCTAGGGGCTGGCCTAGACTTCACAGCCATGCCAGGGTCCTCCTACTGACAGTAATTTTATAGAACATGAACAGCAAACATGGTTACTACTCTATGACCATAATGAATCATGACAAAAAAACCAAGACCACTCTGTAATCGTATCTGAAAATAAGCAAAATACTAATGCTGTCTTGGCACAAAAATGACCAAACAGCTCCCTAAGCTAGCATAATATGAATGACTGTGATGCTTCTTTTTTTTTTTCCTTCAGTTTTTGGCCAAGGCTGGGTTTGAACCTGCCACCTCTGGCATATGGGCCCACGCTCCACTCCTTTGAGCCACAGGCGCTGCCCATGACTGTGCTTCTTTGCCAATTTTAGCATTAGTTTCCCTAGTCTTCCTTCCAAGATTTAATAAAAAAGCAATCATAAAATGACCTCCACTTCCTGATAGCATCTCATCCACAATACAGTCCTGCTTCCCCAAAGTCCTCCCGCAAATCACCTAACACAAACCTAAGTCCTCTAACTCCTTTCTAGCACCCTCTCACCGGGATGGCCCATGGGTCCCTACTGTGTGTGTTCTCCCTTTCTGCAACACAGCAGGACAACTGGTTCAATGGCAGGTGTGCTCCTGGTAGCCTCTGCCCACAGGGCACTGCTTCCTTTGAAAACACTTCCTGTACACCCACTATGTGTTAACAACCCTGCCTTTGTGGAGCTCACCCTCTGGAATATTAGAACGGAACACTGGCTATTATGTAATCAGTGAGTTCTTCTGGGATATAAGGGAACGAGGGCTCTGAAGTCAACTATCAGGATCACACCACGACTCATTTCCTGAGGTGGCAATCAGGGTTCTTTCTTCCACACTGCGAGACCCTCCCTTTATTCTGTACGGGTTTCTGAACCATTTACCATTTAATCTCCTAGTTTTGACATAATACACATTTTTGTCACTTTTTGGACCCACTTTCCACGAGGCACTGCTCATCTGTCCCCTAGCATTTTACCCCCCCAGGGGAGGCTGGCATACAAGGCTGAACACTGGAGGTGGCCACGTGCTGAGCTCATGCTGCTCTGCGTCCTTGTGCGAGACTGCAAGGGAACGAGGAACAACTGGCAGATTTGCAGTTAAGCTTTTCTTTCTTCTTAGACATTTTAAGAAAATGTAGAATGTGAAAAGTACAGGTCAATGAGATTTTAGGGAGAGAGCCTAACTGAGCAGTTGCCAGTCACTTCC